TTTGGGAATCTGGTTTTTAAGACCAGAAGATCTCATCCCCTCCCCTTTCCTCCTCTCCTGACTGAACCAGATGACTGACTTTTATCTCTGGAATTTGGTATTATTTGACCAGAATCTTACTGGCATAAACAGATTTCTCTAAGACTGCCCCCCCCACAAGGAAGTGAGAGACCGCTTTGCCCCCCTGAGTCCCTTAGCCTTTGACCCTTTATTTTGGAGAATGAGGAGTCCAATGAAGACTCTCCTTACCCTACTGTGGCTGGAGTAGAGGGACTGTCCACTCAGCAGGCCTATCCCTTCTCCCCAGGCCAATGGCCTACACCATGAGGGCAGGGCAGGCTGCCCAAATGCCAAGGTGAAGCCTGGACTGGGTGTGAAACAGCTAGAACAGAGGCTGGAGTGGGAGCAAGTGGGTTAAGTGAGTGATGGCTCTGCTGACTGAATTTGAATTTATGAATGGGTCCCACTCTGCTGGGTGTGCCAGCTCACTCACTCGCCCCTTCTTCTGGCCTTCACCCCAAGGCATAAGCCTCCTCATCCATAGCTACCTCCCAGCCAAGTCCTCCAGGCTGCCTTGCACCTCATATTTTCCCCGTCGTGTTCACTGCTCTGGTGGTGGGTGCTGGCTGCCCACAGCTGGCCAGGAGGGGCATGTGGCCATCAGAAAGAACCTCGAGGCCTCATCCTCAGCCCCAGCCCTGGAAATAAAAGGCCTAGCCTTGGAAGGGCATGGGGCAGATTCTTTGTCTAGGCCCAGCCCAGGGCCGAGGAGGAGTAAGGTGGATAAGCGGGGAGGTGCTTTCCCCCCATTTTCCCCATTTGGGATCCTGGCTCCCAGAAACCCACTGTGTCTGGAGCCAGGGTTTTCCCCAGAGCATAGTGCTCTTCCTCCTCCTCTTCGCCTCCCTCCTTTCACCTGCCCTCCCAGCCCAGCCTGCCTTCTCAACTCTACATGAGTTCCACACCCCTCCACCCCAAAGCCAGGTCCGTGGAAGAGACCTTTGCCAGAGGATTGAGAAAAGGGGATGAGGACAGGGAAGGGACAGATTCTAGGGAGGGGGTTTTGGAGAAAGAAGCAAGTCATTCCAGATTCAAATATTTTTCTCCTTTTTTTTATTTTATTATGACTCACGTATACAATACAAAGTACTTGGACCAGGAACAGGGCTGCCGGGACACAAAATCTACATTCATAGCTGGACATAAAGACAAATGACCAAAAATTATTATTATAGATATATTTTTAACGTGTTTTTTTTTTCCTTTCGAGCACATTGCATAAACAGAGAATTCAAGACAGAGTTAACTATACATTCAGTGCAATTTAGTTCTACTCTACTGGGGTTAGAAGCACAATAAAAGCGCACAGGACCGGCGAGCTAGGCAGTCTCAGTTGTTGGGTTTTCTTAGTGAAATAAGCAGCAACAAACGACAACAAAACCGCATTACGAATACTCTCAAAGCAGGATTTCTCTCTATAGGTAGTGATAAAATACGTTGGAGGTTTATTTTTTTTTTCATTTTAAAATTTTTCTCTTTTTTTTTTTCTCCCATATGAGGATTTCTAAAAATGTCTTTTTTTATTTTTCAAGATTATTGCAGGTTCCCTTTAGGTAGTATGTTAAAGATATCAGTATCATTATTATCAGTATTATTATTATCAGTATTATCATTTTCATGATTATGGTGATTTCTGAGCACTAACACTAATGCAGCTCAAGGGAAGCTAGGCCCAACAACAGAAATCAGAGAGCGAAGGGGAGGGAGGCATGGGCCTGGGTGACCATGGGATGGCTAGGTAGCATTTTCAGCAACTGCAGGTTCCTGTCTACCCTCTGGAAAGGGTGGGGGTAGGGGGATGGTCTCTCTAATGGAGGGGGGGAGCCCCCAAAAGGGAGAAGGAATATTCCTTACTATCGCCTTTTTATTTCTTTCAACATTTCTCCTTTCCTTTCCTTCCTTCTTTTCTTTCTTTTCCTTTGAAAAGAAGTAAATCTAATAACCTAATCCTAGCATAAACACAAAGCCATGAGTCTTCTTCATTTTCAGGGGGGCTCCCCTCTAAAATAAATACCAAAGGAGCAGGGAGGGGGGAGTGTGGCAAAAAGGGGCGAGAGAGGGGGCAAAGAGGGAGGTCTCAGACCTTAAAATCCTGGCTGGTCTCTGAAGGGTGGGGGTAGGGACCAGGGTATGTGTGTGTCGGGGCAAAGACTGAGACAGAGACTCCGAACTTTTCGCTGTGTCTCGGTCTCCCCCCAACCCCAACAAATAAAGATGGGGGAAGTCCAAAGGTAATAAAACCAGAACTGCAAGTATCTGACAGGTAGTTAGAGTTGTGAGTGTCATTCTATTCTCTATAAAAGCAAATGACAGTCGTAAACTTCTCAATTTATCCGCTACCATAAAACGAAACTTCAAGGGAGTTGCTAAAGGGGTTGGGGGGGGGGTCTCTCTTTTTTTGCTTAGTCCTTGTTTTCTTCCTTTTCCTCCTCTTCTTTCTCCTCTTCCTCGTTTCCTTCTTCCTCCACCTTCTCCTCATCTCTGGCTCCGGGCAGTTTATCCTTGTTGTTCTCCTTTTTCCACTTCATCCTTCGGTTTTGGAACCAGATCTTCACTTGTCTCTCAGTCAGTCCCAGGGCGTGTGAGACTTCAATCCGGCGCTTTCGTGTCAAATAAGGATTAAAGAGAAACTCCTTTTCTAGTTCCAAGGTCTGATACCGGCTGTAAGTTTGCCTTCCGCTGCGCCGCCCGGGAGCTGGACAGAACAGAACCCCAGGCTTGTTATGTTTGGGTGGGGGCTCAGCTTCCCCCTGCCATCCTTTCTCCCCTAAAGTCCTCCTCCTGGTCTCCCTGTCCCCTTCCTCCCGCAGACAGGCAAGGGCAGAGGGGGAGAGCAGGCAAGGGCAGGAAAGTTTGGGCGCTGGTTTTGGTTTGCTTCACCTTGGGAGGTGGGGGCTGGACGGGGTCTGTCTGGAACCCGGGGATGGCAGCGGCTGGGCATCGCTGCAGGGATCACTGCAGGGCCTGCAGTCCCAGGAAAAGGGCCCTCGCAGCTTTGTTTACAAGTACAGAGTGGCATTTGGTGAGCAGGGCTGGGGACAGCCTGCTTCCCCCCCAAAAAGGAAAAAAGGTCTGGGGTAAAGACGAGGGGCTTTGCTCACTGTTGATGAGGAGTTGCTTTGCCAGGAAGAAAAAAATAATTGATCTCCTGGAATGTATCACCGCTTGGCCTGATGGCTAACTAGAGACCAGCAAATAAATCACGGGCCATCCCCGCTGGAACTTGTCGCTTTCTTGCTTCCCCTTTTACTTCGAAATTGGGCCAGGAGGGGCCACCCCTGGAGGGCACATGACCTGAGTCGCTCTGAGGGTCTCCAGGAGACCCAGCCAGCCTTTGGGAGGGGGTAGGTTGGCTAGGAGCTGCAGGACCTCAGAGCCCTCTAATCTGTATGGTCTCTCTCTCTCCTTTTTCCCCTCTCCTCTCTGGCTTCCTCTCTTCTCTTCAATGGAGGGAAGTACTGCAAAGTTGGGGCAGTGGCCCTAAGGCCAGCTCCCTGACAGGAGGTGCTCGGTGCCCCCAGAGAGCCAGAGCACCTGTTCTTGGGGTCTTACCGCCCTCTGACCCAGCTAGGGGAGGGAAACAGGGGTCTCTCTTCACCCCAAGAAAGCCTGGACTAAGGCTCTGTGCCTTATGGAGACACTGATTTGCCCCCAAAGGCCATCACCTCAGGGTCCTCAGGCCCCTTCCCAGCCACGTCACCAACTTTGATCTTAGAGATGGTAAGAGGGAGAGAGACGGACAGACAGACAGAGGTGAGAAAACGATGGTTTTTTAACCCTTTGCACCCAGGCACCACCTCTCCCCCTTCCCCCCAGTCCCCCCAACATCCCAGGCAAGCCCCGTGCCTCACCCCCCAAAGCTGGACCTCCCCACCTCCAGAAACCCACTCAGGCACCTAGGTGGGGCCGGGGGAGACCCCACCGCCGGGAGGGAAAGCCGGGGACAGACAAAAAGGAGGCGAGGGAGGGGGAGGACCCCGGAGCGCGGGAGACCGAGGAGGGGGAAAGAGAAAAGGCTTCTCACCGTGGGGTCTCATCCATGGAAACATGAGGCTGGGAGACGAGTTTTGATTTAAGTGGCCTTGTCCTTCGCTACTGTTAGTGTTGGCGGAGGATTTACAGTCGGGATATTGCACCACGCTCGCCTCTTGCTGAGCCCCATAAAGGGACTGTCTGGGGAGCGCCTCGTAGCCATAGAATTTGGAGGCGTCTCCGTGGCAGCTCAGCGAGCACGGGTTCTGCTGGTAGCCCGAGTTGGAGATGCCGGAGGTGCCGTGGTGGAAGAAGTCCTGGACGTGGTGCGAGGCGTGCTGGAAGCCGGGCGCCGAGCCGCCGGGCCCGTACACCAGCGCATGGCTCCTGCCCACGCTCTGGGGGAACCGGCAGTCGTAGTAGGCCGGCTCCAGGGACTCGCCGCCTTTGTACTTGGAGAACAGGGGGTTGACGAAGTAGGAGCTCATGCTGGGCACATGAAAACCCGCCGCCCCCTCCCCTCTGGCTCGAGCCTTCCCCCGCCCGGGACCCCCGAAACTCCCCTCCCCCCGGGAGCGAACCCCCGGCCGGCTGGTCCCCGGGCTGGGCCGGGCTGGGCGGGCGCTGGGGCCGGGGCCGGCCGGCCGGCTCAGCAGCTCCCGGGCTGGGCGGCGGCGGCGGCGGCGGCGGCGCGGCGGCTCTCCTCACTGTCGGTAGGTAGAGCTCGCGCTCCCTCACTTAGCTCTTTCCTTTAACAGCCCAGGCGAATTCCTCAGACTCCCGGCGGTGGCGGCGCTTACACGCGATTCGCGTTCATCAATCCACGACATGAAGACAGGCGAGAGAGAGAGAGAGAGAGAGAGAGAGAGAGAGAGAGAGAGAGAGAGAGAGAGAGAGAGAGAGAGAGAGAGAGAGAGAGAGAGAGAGAGGAAGGGATGGTGGGGGGGTTGAGGGGTTCAGAGCTGGGGGGGGGGGACCTGGTGCTGGGAGGAGAGGAAGGGGGAGGGATGGGGGTGTGGTGTATATGTGTGTGTGTGTGTGTGGGGGGGGGTGGTGAGCCAGCCCAAGCTAATGGCTGGGGCCAGTTTTTCCAAGGTGCGCATTCAGATCTGAAGGTGCCTCTCCCCCCTTCTTCTCTCTTCCTTCCTCTTGGAGAGATACCTGAGCCAGCAGGTCAACTCAGGTTACCTCAACAGGTACACGACCCCAGGGGCATGAATGCCAGCGAGGGAGAGCAGGCTCCCTGAGCCAAAAAACGGGATCCTAAGGGATCCTGAAGTCTGGGGACTTTGCAGAAGGAACAAGCACATCCTATTCCCCCAAATTCTTCAGGCATCAGAGATCTCCATGCCTCTCGCCCCTCCCCTGCCCCTTGTTCCCTCGGTCCTTAAGGCTCTCTTGCTGCCTGCTGTGGGTAGAGAAGAGGCGGGGTCACTGCATAGACCCAGTGGGGCTGCACTGCCCCTTCAGACACCAGCTCCTGCCTGAGGCACGAAGCCAGGCAATGGCCAGGAGCTTGGCTGGGGGTTCTGCGAGCAGAGGAGACAGTGGGGACAGAGGAGGGGGCAGCTGGTGGACCTCTGGCCGCTGGCTGGGGTGATTCAGGGCGTCTCTTCTTGGGAGGCTGCTTGTCCCAAGGCTGGTGGGGACTGGAGCAGGCCTCTCTCTTGTCCCCACATACCCTGCCCCACCACCAGAAGTGCCAGCCTGCCCTGGGCACCCCCTGGCTCCACCCCCTCCCCACTTCCCCAGGCAGGCTGCCCAGGCCAGGATGTGGATGAGAACTGTCAACAGACACTCTTTAAATATTTACCCACACTTTCTCTGGGCGGTTTCCCCCATCCCCAAGACAGGGTCCATTCAAGTCAATCCTAATGAATAACCTTAGTTCATCAGCACCTTTCTCTGGCCATTTTTTCCGCGGTGATGTGGGCTGAGCACAGAGAGAAAAGGGAGAGTGCGAGAGGGCTGCAGAGATGTGTGCTGTGTGCATAGAAATGAGCAAGAGGAAGAATGATTTTTCTGGTCCTCTCCCTGTACAGGGTGTGAGGTGGTGGCACACAGGGCAGCACTGAGGTACGCTGAGGATATACAGACACTGTACCTGCTACCTCCCACCATGCCTTGTAGCACCCCTGTCACTCCACAGATACTGTGCACACACATGCACACCCAGGCGCTTAGGAAAACAATACCTGGCGAATACACACGCAGCCTTAGCTCTTTGCTCTTTGCGTCACGGACAAATTTGCCACCTATTTTCCATCCACATCCTGAGCCCTCCACATCCTGAAGGAGGAAGGAGGCAGTAGGAAACCAGATCTTTTCCTTCCCCATCTGGAAGCCAGCTCTGGGCAGGGAGGGAGGAATGGCAGTGCAGGGGCGGGTGGCGCTGAGAGAATGAGCCTCCCCACCCCATCCCTCTATTATCTTCATAATTGCTGGGGAAAAGGCCACCCTCAGCCAAATTCTCCAAGGAGATTCATGGGTGCCCAAACAAGCGATGCTTCCTCTATTCTCTGAATCCAGAGAACCCACCCCCATCTGAGTCCGGGCTGCCCAGAGCAAGGACCCTGGGGCAGCGGGAGGGGAGGGTCAGAGGAAGGCTGTGGTCTCCCCGGGGCCCAGGAGAGTGGAGGACAGACAGGGGTGAGCACGCTCCAGCCTCGGTTCCAGCCCTGCCTTCGCTGAGCCTGCTCTGCAGCGCTGAGCTGATCGGGCGGACTCTGGGCTTCCAGCATCTGGATGACCAGGGACTGTCATAAATACTTTCTCCTCCTGGCCTGGGAAGAGGAGGCTGGCAGGCCGGTCTGCTCTGGAGCCTGCACCTTATCTTTTAGAGGGCGGAGGGGATATCTCTACAGTTTATGGTCCGGCGAAATCCCTGCCACACTGCTCTTCTTCCGGGTCTTTGTGTCTTGGAATGCGACTGTCCTGAGTGTGCCGCCACAGCCGCCTGCTCCGAGAGCCCACCAGTCCCGAACCCCTGGCCGGACTTGGTTCCCCACCCCTTTTTTTGGGGGGGGGTGTCCCTCGCCTCTTCTTCCTTTCTTTCATTTGATTGTTTTGTTTTGTTTTTCTTTTTCTTTTACACATAACTGGTTGATTTCCCTTCGGGAGCCAGGAAATAAAGAACCACAAGCAGCCATCCTCTCTGGGAAGTCTCTGTCCCTCGCCTCGAGGCCTGCACCACCGCCTTTCTAGGTATCACGGATTTATGTTCGTTTGTCTGGGTCATTCTGCCTTTTTGTGTTAATTACGCGCGCTGCCTGCTCCGTTCTTATCTCCTCCGCAAAGCGATTATTTTCGACACCCGCCCTTCCTCGCCTCCCTCGCGAACCTGCTGTCAGAGCCAGGGCCCATCTCCCGCCACCGCTCACGATTTATTTACACCTCGCAGGTGAGAGGATTGATTTGCTCAGCCAGGAGGGCCGGGCCGGGCAGGGCGCGCGGGGCCTTCTCGCCGCTGCTCCAAGGAGCCGGGCCTCAAATGTCAGCGCGGCCAGGCCGGCCGGGGCGCCGCCGCCGCCTCTAACATTGAACAACAGCGCCACCTCGCGTTCGTTTTCTCCAATGCAGCCCAGCTGGGGGAAAGGCCAAGGGAGAGAGCAAGCAGGTCTCAGGCTTGGCCCTAAGGTGAAAAGGGGGCAGGAAGGAGTTTCCAAATGGGGGAGCAGATGAGGGGAGGGGGTCCCTGCAAGGGAGTCCCCCCGGGACCGCTTTTCGTTTGTTTTATAAGTTCTCGAGATAAATCTTGTCAAAGGTCTCACGCTATTCTCTCTTTTTGAAACCCTTTCTTCCCGCATTAAGAGACACCATGCAAAGGAGCCGCCGCGGTCTTCCCTCATCCCCTCTTCAGGCGCATTTCTGGGCCGGGAACACCTCCGCGCACGCCGACGCACGCTCCGAAGCCCCCCCCGCAACCACCTGCCCCAGGCTGCACCCTAACTCCTGGCTCTTCTTACCCTGCCGCCGGTCCCGCACCGCCTATGCCGCCGCTGCCCGCTGGACTTTGGGGTGGGACTCTGCCTTCTCCCGGCGGTTTGCCCCCCGGTTTGTGGCCCATCCCTCTCTCACGCGCGCCCTCCCCACCTCTCCCTCCCAGCCAGTGAGGTCCTGTTCTCCGTGGGCCATAGACAAAACATTCCTATAATCTGATTTCAAAGGAAAGAGTGTCCACCTTATTTAAACCATAAAGCAATTAAGCCCAGACGTCTAGCCAGCTCCGCGCTGCTGTTTTGTTCGGCCCCATTCAGAATCCAGCGCAAGGAGACAAACAGCGCCATAAAAGTGGCATTTCGGTGCTGCGGAAATGTACCTATCCCCTGCCTTTCCGAGTGGAACAACCTTTAGGGTTTTGTGATTCTGACAAAGGCGCAGAGGAGAGGTGGGAGGGAGGATTAGGGCAGGAGGGCGTTTGCTAGCCCCTTTCCCCCAGCTTTCGCTTCTTCTCCCCCAGATGTGTGTTGTGTTGTGATGATTTTTTAACTCACCGATTATAATAAATAAAAATGGAATCCAATCCTGACCTGCAGGCGGCTGAGCTGGTACTGAGCAGCGGGGCCGGGGCGGGTGGGCCTGCTCTGGATCCCGCGCTCTCTCTCCTCCCTCTCTCCTCTGGGCCCTGGAGCCCTTCGCCCTGCTTCCTGCCCGCATTCAGGCCGCTGGGGCGGCTGCAGGAAGCAGGCCCCGCTGGCCTGGCGGACGCGGGGAGGCGAAAGGGCCTTGGAACAGGGGCGGGGTGGAGGCCCGGATAGGCCGCCAAGCTCGGGGCTGGGAGAGAAGCCTGAATCCCCGCGTCAGGACTCGGGCAGACGGGTGCCTGGTTCCCCAATGGGTGCAGACCTGAGGCCAGGGTCACAGAGCTGCAAAATGGCCAAAGGGAGGAGGGAGGAAGCAAGAAAATCGAGCAGTCTACAGGCAAAGCACCTTTCAAAAGGACCAAAGAGACAATCGGTTCTGGAATTGGAAAGGATGGCTTCTAAGCGGGAAAGAGGAGAGGGTGCTTCGGCTACTGGGAAAACCACACCATCGATCGTTTGTGACTTTTGACTGCCCCGACTCAAAATATCATCAAAACAAAACGTTCACCCCTTCCCACCTTCCTCCAGCCCCCAACATTGGATAGTCTAATGGAAGGAGGGGGTAGGACATTCAAATGATGGGGAGGGGCTGGTCCCTCACCAATCCTGTAAGACAATGCAATGGCCCAGGGAGCTAGCTGCACAAGGCCTGGGGTCCCCAATTATTTTCTTTTATGAGACACCCCAAGAATTCAGAGCAACACCCTGTGCCCTCTCCAGAATGGGCAGCCTGAGATATTAAAGGGCTATATTTCAGGCAGTCTGAGTTTAATAGTTTCCAGATTGGGGGATTTCTGAGAAAGGGGGCGCCCAGGCTGAGGCATACCCTGCAGCTTGGGTCTGCTTCTGATTAGCAGATGAAACTGCCAGTTCTGGGGAGGGCACTCTGGGGTACAGTGCAGCTGACAGCCCCACCAGCCCGTCAGACACACATCTCTGCATCCTTACACCTGGGGTCCTTCCACTGCCAGAGAACATCCCCCACCTGACTAATCCCTGAGTAGCTTCCCTGGGCCCTGGCCACACTGCCCCCCAGAAATGCTGCAGCTGCACAGCATACCCTCTGCACCCCAAGACCAACATTCAAACGAACCATCCGAGAGACCGAAAATGCATTGAGAAGTAGAAACTAAACCTAATTCTGATTGTATTGGCTTTGCCACCTAGCTCCTTCTTTAATCTCCCTCCCTCTCTCCTTCTCTCTCCTCTCTCTCCCCCATTTTCCTCCTTTTATTCTCCACGAAGTCCTCAGTGCCTGTCCTCCCTGAGGCCTGCTGGCCTTCTTCCTCCAAACCGCACACCCTCCCTCCTCAGCCCCCCAGCCATCCCTCTCGAAGCACCAAATGCAGCCAGGCAGGAATCCAGCCCGGGCCCTCACCCAGCACCCAACTTTCATCTTCACCTATCTCTTCCCTCCGATCTCCTGTACTCATAAATTATTGCAATTAATTACAGCCAGGGAAAGCCATTCATGCCATGCCCCCACCCTCCCCCCTGGACTCCACTGAGCTACCAGGGAACTCCTAGGCAGCGATCAGAGCAGGCAGTCTGTGCCCAGGACTCAGCGGCCTCCACCCCACCCTGGAGCCCTCACCCACCCCACCCCGCCTGGAGAGAAGCAGCAGGCACTTGCCCTCCTGAGGTCAAGAGAGCCCCTTCCTGGCTCCAGCCTCCCCCAGAGGGTCTGAGCATGCCTCCTTCACGACAGCGGCCTGGGAGCCACCGGGTGGAGAAATAATGAGAACTGGATGCAGTTGGGTTTTCTGGTTTTTTAAGTGACTTCGATATATTAACACAGAGCTGTTCTACCATAACAAACAGAAGCACGTAACAGGACGGACGCTGGGGATGATAGGAAACACTGCTATGTACATACATGCCCGCCTGAGGCACCGGCCTGCGCGCTGGACCCAGCCTGCAGCACCATCCCCGGCCCTCGCCCCGCAGTTCCTGGGCTGGGACTCCTTATTGTGTATGTATGTGTATCTTTTTTTCGTACAAAATCTGCACGCAGAGCACCCCAGGCCTGGGGAGAGTAGGCCCGGGCCAAATATGATACAGGAAGAAAAAAAAATAGAAATATAGCGATTCAAGTACTGGCTTCTCTGAAGAAAGGAGAAAAAAAATCACATTGTGTGTGTCATTTATTTCAGTTGCGCAGGAGAAGAGAAGGCGGCTTCTCTCCCCGCCTTCTCATCCTCGCTGGGTAGAACTAACTCTAAAACACCAATTTCTCAACACCGAACCCTCCCAAATTGCAAGAGTTTTCCTTTTCCTTTCCCCCCTTTTTTTTTCTTTTTTCTTTTTAAGCGGATTGGCTTTTCTCTATCTTGCTCTTTCCTTTCCTTTTGCTTGCTCTCTCCCGCCTGGGCTGGGTTTTACTGTGGATTTTTTTTGTTGGTTTTTTTTCCCCCCTTGGCTGTGCTGAGGCAGGCCGAGCAGGGTTTAGGATTGCTCCTTGTCGGTTTTCTCTTTATTCATCTTTTTCATCTTCATCCTCCGGTTTTGAAACCAGATTTTGACCTGCCGCTCGGTGAGGTTGAGAACCCGGGCCACCTCGTACCGACGGTCCCTGGTTAAATACATATTGAAGAGAAACTCCTTCTCCAGTTCCAGCGTCTGGTACTTGGTGTAGGGGCAGCGCTTCTTCCTCGTGGAGCGGGCGTGGATCCAGTTGGCCACGGGGTTGCCTGGAGGGCCAAACACAGGCAGGGGTCAGCCGAGACCCTTTTCCAGCCCAGGATCCCTGCCACTCCACCCCCAGTCCTAGCCAAGCTATCAAACCCCAATAATTGAACCTGAATTTGGACACTTTTTTTGCTGTAGGAATTTCCCCTCACTCCTTTTGCATTCTGCCCTCCTCCCCAGCTCCCCCTTCCTTCAGCTTCCTAAAACTATAGGAAATCAAAGCTATCAAAGCCCCAACAGTCTGGTCCTCAGCTTCAAGAGTAGTAACTCGAGAATATCCTCATAAAAAGTCCAAATTCCCAACCGTTTCATAGGCCCATAAATGCTTCTCTCCCTTGTTTTTTTATTTTTATAGGGAGGTCTCTCTCCTCCCCACTTCCCTCCTCCTTTGCCCCCTCCCATCCACCCGGCCCACGACCAAGTCCTGGAAATTTCTGCAGTTCTGCCTCCTGACCCTGAGAGCCCCCCAGCCCCTCACTACCCTCTCCAGCGCGGTTTGTTGCTCATCTCCGCTCTCTCTCCGAGTTCAACCCTGCTGAGGCGAATTCTCAGGGTGATGCTGGGCTAGGAAAAGCCTCCCCCCTCTCCCCCAGAGAGCTGCTGGCCTTGGAAACAGGCCCCCCCCCCCGCATGTGAGCGTCCCTGTTTGACTTCCAGGGCCCCCACCCCTCCTGCCAGCCCCAGGACAGGCTCTGCAGGAGCCAAGCCTCCAATTTCAGGTTTATGAGAGTCGCTGAGGGCAAGGAGGGAAGGCTCAGAGGGGTATAATTAGGCCCTGGCCCCTCACCGGGCTGGAGGAAAGGATTTCCTGGAGCCCCCCCTGGGACTCCCCCAGACACTTCCTCACACCCAGGGGGCTGCACCCCTCCCCTGCTGCTTCTCTTCTGTCCCCTTTCTCTGGCCCTACAGCTCCCACCTGCCCCTCCCCACCTACCCCTGCCCTTCTCTGCAACACTCAGAAGGCTCCTGTCTCCCTGATTGGAGTGTGTGCATGGGTGTGTGTGTGTGTGTGTGTGTGTGTGTGTGTGTGTGTGAGTGTGTAATTCTCTAATCTGGGGAGATATCTCTCCCCACTCCGCATCCCTGACACCCCCATTTTCTACCTTCTCTCCTGCAGAAGACCCTCAGAGGAGGGCTTTCAAGTTTGAGGCTGGGACCCCACTTCTCTCCCCCAACTCCGGAAGTCCTGTCCCTCCAAGTTCCCCCAGACCCTTCCCTCAGTGGTCCTGGGAGAGAAGTCCACAGACCTTGAGTTTTATGAATCTCTAGTGGAGTGAGGACCCCCCCCCCATCATGCTGGTTGGGAGGTAGGGGTGAATTTTCTCCCTGTCCTTGGTGTCCTCCTCATCTCTGTCCCGTCCCACCTCAAACCATAAAATGCACCTCGCCCCCCACCCCATCCCCTGGCCCTGTCTGCATTTCTTCGAAAGTAACGACTGAGCCAAAGAGCCTGGGGCTGGGGGTGCTGGGGGGCGGGGGTCCCTCTCACCCAAACCTGCTCCTGGGGAGAGGGGCCCCCTCAGCCCTACTCCCAACCTGGCTCCTCGGGGAGGGGGCCCCCTTTCAGACCTCCTGCCCCCTGAAAGCTCCCCAAGGTAATTCGCTTTTATTGAGTCCTCGCCCCCCTCGCCCTCGCCCCTCTCCCGCGCTCCCCGCGCCGCCGCCGCGAGGGGCTGTAATCCGGCTCCCCCCGCTCCCCTCCCGCGCCGGTCGTAAAGGAAGATTGCTCCCCACTTACTGGGGTCCAGGTCGGCCTTCTCCTCTTTGTGCTTGCCGCCGGCGAGCGCGTCCGCCTCGGGCGAGGGCAGGGTCTGCGGGGCGCGGTCGCGCAGCTCGCCGGGCGAGCCGTACATGTAGTCCGGGTAGCTGCGGCCGTCGCCCGGGCCGCAGTCGGCGCGGCGGCCGGGGTAGGCGTCCGGCTTGAGGGCGTAGGGGCGGCCGCCGGCCGGGAAGCTGGGGAAGGAGACGGCGCCGGACAGCGGCTCGAGCCAAGTCCGCATGTAGCGCGCGTCGGCGCCGAGGTGGGGCTGGGGGCCGTACGGGTGGTACACCACGGACGACTGCGAGGGCACGGGCGCCCACGACGTGCCGAACACGGCGGGCTTGGGCGCGAAGCTGCAGGACGGGAAGTCGCCGCAGTCCGGCACCAAGCCGCTGGGTCTGGCGGCCGCGGGGTGGGCGCCGGTGGCCGGGAACCTGGACGCCAGGAGGTCTTCATTGTCGTGGGAGATGAGCGAGTCCACGTAATAGTTACTGATGGGCCCCGTCGCCGACATCGTAACGGGGTTTTACATACATAAGATTATTGTATGAACTGTATATGTACTTTTTATCTGCTCACAGAACAATCAAGGCAGGTAATTATTTTTCCAGCCTTTTCCCCGCAGCCCATTGGCTCCCCGGCCCCCACGTGATCGTATTTACCCAAAAATACGGCGCGGATCAATGCGCAGGGGCTTTTTTTTTTTTTTTTTTCCTCCCTTGCCTTTTTTTTTTTTTTTTTTTTTTTTTTTTTGTACCTTCTCCCACCCCCTTCTCTGCTAGGATCCCCGCGACCTGCGTTTTCCTGGGGGTCCGGAACTCTGGACCCCAGGCGCCCGCCACCCCCTCAGGACAACTCGTCTCTCACCAGAGCCCCTTGCCCATGCCCACCGGGAGCGGAGGGCCCCCGCCCCGCCCCCGCCCCCGGGAGGATTTCTGAATGGGGGGAAAACGCCGGCCCGGAACCGGGGCTCCCGCACCCCCGGGGCGGAGCTGGGCGCCGCCGCCCGGCCACCGCGGCCGCCGAGGTAGGTGGAGGAACTATTTCTTGACGTAATCCGTCTCTGTCGGCCCCGACGCGCCCGCAGTCCCTGCGCGAGCCGAGATCAGCGATTGTCAGTTCGGAACGTGGCTTTTTAAAAATGCGTTTTTAAATAGTGTGCATGTATGTATTTCTTTCAGGAGCAGCGGCAGCCGGAGAGGGAGGGTGGGAGGGGACTGGAGAAGCTGGGGTGGAGGGAGGGAAGGCAGGAGAGAAAGGGGGAGAGTGCCTCTGCCCTGGCCAACTCAGCCCCCAAACCTGGGGCAGGGGAAGGTTAGGGAAGGGGGTCCGTGGGTGGGAGGGGTAGGACCTCTGGACCTCAGACACCTTTAGCATCAGAAATGCTCTCTTTGCTTCGGTACAGATAGGCAAGCACCTCTATTTTAAATTTATTGTCTGTATCTACCTTTTTTTTTTTTGCCAGCTTGAAGAAGTGGAGGAGAGATCTACACAACTTGAGTGGGGCAGCCCATCCCATCTTCCTGCTCACCCACCTTTGCCCCCATCCCATCTCTGGGGCACCCTGACCCCCCAAAAAGAAGTCACCCCCCGGGTTCTGCCTGCACAGAGCCAGGGTGAGAGCGGGCAAGGCAAGGGAGCGACCTCAGTTGTGGGCAAGTAGCTTGTTTTTACGTCCTTCAATAAAATTTTTATGAGGATCATTTGATTGTTCATAAATGTGTCTTTCATTAAATAAAATTGTAGGCTGTTTTTGGAACGGGAAAAAAGCAACGGAGGGCTGGGAGAAAGCAGTGTCTCTGGGGCCGGACACTGAATTCTGGAGAAGCAGTGTGACTGCAGAGAGGGACACACACTAGGGTTTCCTTCCCCCAATAAGTTGGCTGTTACCCTCCTGTGTGGGTTTGGGGTTTGGTACCCGGTCCTCTGCTTTCCACGGGACTGTCCCACGGTGGCTTAGCAAAGGTGGCTTTGCACAAGCAGGAAATCCTCAGCATGAGTGCAAAAGAGGGGGCAGGCAGGCTGGCTGTGGGGGAGCTGAGCAGGTGATGTCCCCAGAGGCAGATGCACCCTAGGCATGGCAGAGCGAGTGTGAAGGAGGGATGCAGTCCCAGGGTCAGAAGGAATGAGCCCCAGTTTGTGCTGGTGAGAGGGGCAGGAGCTGAGCTGGGAGGAGGCTCTGAAACAGCAGGAAAGGAAGAAGCTTCCCAGAGCACAGATGCCTGCCCTTCGTTCCCACTCCTGTCCCCCGGAGGGGACCACACGCCAGGGGTGGGGGCCCAGGCTGGTGTCCCCTGCACCCAGGTCAACCTGCCTCCTTTGGGGCAGAGAAGGACTGGCGAGGGGTGTCCCAGGGAGTGTAGGCTGCATGCTGGGGGGGAGGAGGAAAGTTGAGGGGGAAAGAATAGATGTGAAGTCCAAACACTGACCCCAGCTTTCTAGGCCCCTGTCCCGAGTCCCTGTTCCTCCCCCTTCGCAGTGCTTTCCCTTTCGGCCAAGCGGGGCTGGGATTTCTCCGAAATGGGGGGGGGGGGCAGGATGTGAGACGTGCCTAAGGGCTGAGGAGAAGGGAGAGGGGGCCTCAACCTCCTCACCCTGGGCTCTGATTGGACTATCTCCCCCTCCCCCAGACTCAACTGATTTGGAAAAATCCAAATAACAGCAAGAAACAGAGTATCTCTTTGGCCTTGATGGAGTTGGCTTAGCTGTCAATCAAAAATCCTCCCTCACTAGTTCAAGGAAAAGACAAGAGGTTCCAGTGCCCCTGCAGAGGCTTTCTCCAAATCCCCAGCGCCAGCACCTCCCCCAGCCCTGGCGGCTGGGGACCCTGACCAGCTCTTGGGCGGCTGCTGGCAGACATGGAGCCTTTGGCCCGCCCGGGCCAGCCTGTGACCAAGAGGACGTTAGGGACAGAGCCCGAGAGAGACTGCGCCCGCCCCAGCTAGCCTGAGACCGAACAACTGAAACACACGGGCGTCAGGCCGTAGAAAGGAAGGAGGGAAGGAGGGAAGGAAAGAAGGAGACAGAGGATTAGGCTAAAAAAGAAGGAGCGAGGGGAGAATGAAAGAAACGAGGGGAGGCGAGATGAAAAGAGATGGGAGAGCAGGGGAAGGAAGGCGTGCAGAGAGCAAGACAGAGGAAGGGCGGCGACAGGCAGGATGGGAGAGAGAGCTGGCGGAGCAGCCATGGCATTGTGCATTCGCTTGCTTGCCTGCCTGCCGGGCCTTTGCCGGCGACAGGCTCCAGGCACAGCGGCCACTTCTGTCCTGACACAAAGGAGGAAGAGGCCTTCTCCCGGCCCTTCCCAGCGCCCGGCTCCTGTGGGCACACCAGGCTCCTGGGATAGCGAACCCCATTCCAGGCGGCTGGGGCTGAGCCATGCTCTAGCCAAGGAGCAAAGAAGAAGACGCAAAGAAGACATGATGAAGGAGGTTTCACGCCCTGCTCCTCTGTTGCGTCTCCGCCAGGCCACAGGGCCCAATGGCCCCCACTTCAGCTTTCCTAGAAGAAAGACACCCCTAGGGCCCTCTTCTATGGGCTTCTGCTTTTGGGGAGAGCTCCCAGGCTGCAGGCAGATGCCCCTTTCCCTCCTGGCCTGCTTTTCAGCCCTGCCCAGCCGGCAGAGGCAGCAGCGTGGGGCAGCTGAAATCACAGCTGAAGTGCTCCAGCCCCCACTCCCTGCTGCTGTCCATTTCCCCATGAAGCCGAGGGGAGATTGTCACCTTAGTTACAGAGCGTGAACTCAGACCCTCCCTGCTCAGGCACAGACAGAGCTGCGGGCCTCGCCCACAGCCCCCTCCCCACCAACACCCCGTTTTGCCTAGGCCTTGCTTAGAGAGGCGGCCTTGGGGTGGGGGTGGGGGGCTGGAAGAGGCGGGGAGCCCCTGAGTTCGCCAGACCCAGGCCCCTGTGCTTCCACAACTGCATATGGCTTGTACCCCATTCTCTGTATCTGGAGGCAGAGGGGCAGGTCAGGGCTCTGAAGCAGATTTTTCAGGCTCCCCCAAATCCAGGCCTCTAGGATGGGAGCACAAGGATGTGGGGGACACCACGACAGAGGGGCTTGTCTTCCCAGGTCCAGCTACTCCTCCTGAACCCCCTGGCAGATTCCAGGACTCCCTTCCACCCCCACCTCTCCCTCCAATTTTCCTCAGCGCCAATGGGGGAGAAACTCAGGAGCCTGGAGGCCACTGGGAATCCCTGTTGTGGAGAGGGTGACCCCAGCTTCAGCTAGCAGCCCTGCGCTCGCTCTGGTTCTCAGAACTCCCCTGCACCCCTAAAAGGCTTCACTGGGCACGGGAAAGCCCCCTGTGGGGGAGGGGCGGCCTTCCTCGATCACCTCGAACCTGGGCAGCTACGCCTGCAGCCAAGCAACTAGCACCACCGTGGGCAGGACTGACAGAGAGGCAGACAGGTTAGAGGCTTCCTCTCCCCGCGCCCTGCGCCTCCTTTTCAGTGATTTAAATTCCCTCCGGTTCAATCCACACCGTCAAGTTCGGATTAAATTTAAAACAGGCTTTCCCGGTGCCCCCAGCGGGCTATCCCGGCCGCCGCAGGCGGGGAGGCCGCTCCAGGGCTCGTCTGCACCCGCCCGCGCGGAGCAGGCTGTGCTCCATTTGCTTTCATTTTCCGTCTCCCCCCCGAAATGGGCTCAGTCCACCTCTTCGCTGCCCTCTCTCCCTCCCCGCCCCCTCCCCGGGTCCCCTCGACTTTCCCCCCTTCTCTCGCCCGATCCTTCTTTGTTGGGGAAAAACACACCCACACGCAACTCCTCCTCGCCAAGGCCTGCGCTGGAAGGAAGCAGAGGCGGACTCCTCCCGGCCCGCGGCGAGGAGCCCCGCGTCCTGCCCCCACCCCAGGTGGGTATCCGGGCTCCCCGCGCGCCAGGGGCCCGGCCCCTCCGCCCCGCAGGAGCGAACCCCCGGGGCCTGTGAACCTGGCCCTCTCAACGCCACGGCCTGCACGCCCGCCGGCCCCCGCCCCGCCGCCCGCCCAGCGGCAAACGGGGCTATTTCCGGCTCCCCCAGCCGGCCGGCTCCCCGGCCTGGGGAGTGGCTGCAGGGGGAGGGCCCCGGGGCCAGGGGTGCTCCCTACCCAGAGCCCCCGTGGCCCTGGAGACTTGTTACCTGATCTTTCTGTGATGTGTGTGTCGCAAGGAAATTTGCAGTGACTTTGGAGCCCAGACTGCGGAAGCGGAGGTGGCGAGAGGAGAGACAATACGGGTACAATTAAGGGGCCAGAGCCGCGAGCCTCTCCCCCGCCCTCCCTGCGCGGCTGGGAGCTGTCTGGCCTCCACCCTCAGGGCGACCCGCGAACCTGGAGCCGGAACTCAGCCCCAGGCGTGGGGACCGGAGGCTCTGGCTTTCATGAGGCGGGAGCCCAGCTCCCCTGCAACTTGGGGGCGCAGCCGCCAGCCGCACCGAGTCACAGAGGAGGCAATGAATGAAAGTGCACATTCCGACCAATCTCCCCAAACTGGCCAGCCTTCGGAAGGAGAGCCCGGGCTTTGGGACGCCTCCGACAGACAGACAGACAGACAGACACGACAGGCAAACCGCATCTCCAGAGGCAGGCTGGCTCACAGCATGAGTGCGAGCCCGAAATCAAACACAGGTTCCACATTTCCTGAGGCCTCTCTGCCAGGCCGGGGGCGCCGATCTCCCTACCTTCTCTCCCCTCCAGGGCGCTGGACAGGGACCTGGAAGGCTGGGTCCAATCCCGCCTCGGGAAGCGCCTTCGTTACCTGCTCCGCGGCTCCCCACGGCCACAGAGGCAGGGCAGCCGCCTCCCCGCCCGGGGAGGGAAGCCCCGGCCGCCGCCGCCGCCGCCGCCGCCCGCCCTCCTTCCCTCCCTCCCTCCGTCTCGCCCTCCCTCCCTCTCTCCCTCCCTCGCGCGCCGCCGCTCGCGGGCCCTCCCGCGGGCAACCTGTTCTGGACCGGATCCAGGTATCTCCGAAAGCGAGAGGAAAAAGGAAAAGACATTCTTGTGCAAAAGAAAGGAAGAAAGACCCCTTAACCGCATTTATTTTTCACGCTCTGAGCCTGGGCTGGCCTCGGTGCCCAGGTCCTGGCCACGGCCCTGCCCCCGCGGAGGTGCGCGGGGCCTGCCGCCGCGCCCACGAGGACCGCCGCGCCCCACGCACCGCGAGCTGCGCGCCGTGGACCGCCGCGACGGCCACCCGAGCACCACTCGGACCTCAAGGTCCTTCCCACAGACTCAATATCCGGTGCCCGGCTCGCCGCGGGCCTCCGCCCGCCCCGGGAGCCAGCTCTGCTCCGCCTGCAGCCAAAGTGCACACGCGATCCACCTAGCCGGTGCTCTCAGACACCCCGCCCAGGCTGGGCGCCGGCCGGGCACCCTGGGGCTCCGGGCTCGCCCTGGGCGACAAACCTCCTCGGGGCACCGGACCCACACAAAGCCCGGTGCAAGCCCCCGCCGCCGCCGCCCTTCACCTGTTTCCTGCCGAAAAGAGCTGCAGCTCCTCCGCGTCGAGCCGGGCCGCGGGCCCCAGCGGAGGGGGCTGGGGAGCCAGGGTCCCGGGGAAGCCTCGGAGGATGGAGGGTCCGCGGGGCTGAGCCGGAGCCCCCGCAGCAGCCTCGAGATAGCTCGGAGCCCAAGGCTCTCCTGGGCGAGCTCTCGCCTTCTCCTCCTTCTCCCACAAGTCTTAAACACTCACACGCCGAGAGTTCAGCTCTATAAATCCTGTTCCTCTTTCCCATATCATAATTAAAAAAAACCAGTAGGGGAGGTTTTAACTTTTATTGCGATTTCTGGAGTTGGGCTGCGGAGCATATATTAAGTTTACGCTCGTGCGCTCTCGGCGGGGAGGGCCCTTTAAGAAATAAAAATCCATCTTAATATCCGCAGACGAGAGAGATAATTTTTCCCCTCCTCTTCACGCTGTTTCTTCTGAAGACTCCCTTCCAGCGAAGCGAATAAGTAATCACCACCACCTTAGCCATGATCCATGGCCCCAGGGCCCCCGGGGCAGTCGCTGGCCATCAGACTGGCCCTCACCTTGGCCCTAGGAGAACTCACCCCATTCAACCAGGATTCTTTTGGGGTGGGCACTCAGACCCATGGCTCCGTGACCAGCCCCCATAAGCTCTGGGGCTCTGAAACAGAGATGGAGGCAGAGGGACCCAAAGCCCAGAAGCCCTTCACTGGTGAATTTCGGGCCATCGGGGACCCTGTCCCCAAGGCAGGCACCCCGAGCACCCGCCTTTGCTGGGGACTCGTTTCACTCCCACTGGCCCGGGGCTTCTGGCAACCTGAAAATTCAGAGACTGCTGGGGGGCTCCCAAACAGGGGGTCCCCCCGGCCTGCCTCAAACCAGCTGGTCTTCCTTTCTGAAAACCCCCCTATTCCCTGAGAGCCATAGAGAGATTTGAACACCTTCAAGTAAGGGAAGATATATTTTTTTTCTCCCTACCAATGGCTAAGGGACAGATGGAAAGTCAACCTGACAAATTCAGCTGGAGCGAGCGAAGAGAGGCTCTGTGCCAGTTTCCCCCTCTATCCTCCTCAGGGTGAAAACAAATCTCTTTGTATAACAGAGAGAAAAATAAATAAGCATGCAGATATATATATATATATATATATATATATATATATATATATATATATATGACAGGGGTATAGAAACAGACACCCACACTCATCCAAGGCTATAGATATCCCCTAGCAGACACTTGCAAGAATATGGAACTCCATGTATATGTTTTGTAACGGGGACATGACTTCATTTCTCTGTCTGAAAGTTTATCATGTTTTAATTATCACAATAATTCCAAAGTAAGGAAACCTGTCCTCCTTTTGGCTTTCTCTTGCCCAGTCTGAGAACTGGGGTATATCTCCCCATTCTCCTGGATTTCCCCCCCCCCCCCGCCCATTTTTCTTCACAGACAGAGAAACCTCTTTGGAAAGCTTCTCTCTAGCAACAGGGTCCAGAATTGAGGAACCAAGGGCAAGGGGCGGATGGGAAAGGAGGGGAAGAAGCTTTGCAAAGTTTCGCATTGCTCAGATTTCCTCTCACCCCATTCCCTCCCTCCCTCCCTTCCCTGGCATCAGCCAACAGCCTTCCCAACAATATGGTAAAGGTGGGCGCTGGCAGCCTCCCTTCGCCCAGACATTGCCACACAATGCAAAGACCAGCAGCTGCCTGACAGCCACAGACACACAGACCAAGGCCTACGGGGCCACGGACAGCCAGCCTGAGACCAGGGCCAGCTAGGTTCTTGCCCTAATGTTTCCTAGAATGTGTGTGTGTGGAGGGGGTGGGCATTTCTACTTGGACTTGATGCTTTCCCCTCACCCACTAACACCCTAAATATGCCCTTCTGGGCATGGAGCCATAGAGGGGGAGGGAAGGTGACTGAGCTAGTGCTCAGAGATCCCCAATTGTTGGGACCCCCCCCAGGCACCCCACTTTTCTAAGGGGAAGCTTCAGCCCCAGCCTTCTGGAGGCATAGTTTTTCCTTGGAGGTGGCAGGTGAGAGAACCGAACCCTTCCAGAGACTCCCTTCTCTTTCTGTGCTCTCCTCTCTCCTAATGACCCTGCCCTACCCTGGCTGGCCTGCCAGACCACCTCTCACTCAAATTCCTCAATTTCCTTGGAATTGACTAGACCGTCTTTGTCTGTCTCCGTCAGCTGAGACCCAGAAACAATAGCTGCAGGAGAAACTCCTCTCCCTGAGCCCCAGGGATTGGGACAGGCTGAGGAGCAGACAGTGGAAAGTGGGATTTCCAGGCTTGCCTGGCCTGGCCCCACTCACAGCGTGCCCTCCTCAGTCTGTATCCAATGTGCCCTGCCTGCCAGGGGGCTGGGGCAGGCCCACAGGGGTGGGACGGAGCCGGATAGGTGGGTTGGGGCCCTCGACGAAAACCGACTGATGTAACTCAGGCAGTTTCTTGTTGCCGAGTTCAAAACTCAATCCCAACAACATGAAACTACCTAAGCCACAGATCAGCTGAGCGAGCAGGGCGGGAGATTCAGCTTTGCATCTATCGGGAGGAGAAGGGAAGGGGGTTGGGGAGGGAAGAAATTCAGCCCCGTCCCCCTTTCCGCCCCTACAGCCTCCCTAAAGGCTAGGGGATAGACTTTGGGGGGCTGGGTGGGTAGGGGTCTGACTGCCTCATCAGCTTCTGGCTCAAGCAAATCGTTCAGGGAAACTCTGAGGAAATGGGACCTCCAGCCGCCAACACCCCCCTCCAGCACCAGCACCAGCACCAGCACCGCAGCAGACCTATTCCCCTGCCTCTGGCCCTGGCCCTGGGGAAGCCCAAGTGTCCTTCCCCTCTGGAGCTGGGTCTCCTGTCCTGTCCACCGGGCTCTTCCGCACTCTCCTCCTCGATTCCCTCTGATCCTCTCTCCCTCTCAGCTCAGCTCCGGCTCCCCTACATCTGTGGGTAGCCGAACCACACAGCCCGTGCTCCAGCGCCTCTTCCAACCAGGCCACTTGCCTGGCAAAGCCCCATGGTGAGGGAGCGTGGGGACCGAGAGCTTGGCTAAGGCTCACATCCAAACCGGCAGAAAGCAGAAAAACCTAAGCTTCAAGCTCCAACCCTCTCCAGCCCGCCCTCCCTCTGCTCCCCTCAGCAGACAGCCAGACCGAGCGACATCCAGACCCATGTGTCAGCCTCGAGGCAACCCTAAGTGCCAGCGGCAGAGAAGGAAGCCAAAACCTACCCATGTACCCGTTTAACCACTGAACCCCTCAGCAACAGGCCGAGGAGGGGCGGGAGGGGAGCTCACGGCCACTGCCCTCCGCTGCCAGCACCATCCACAAGTCCACAAGCAAGCCCCGGGGCTCTCGGAAAGCCCGGGCGCCCCAAACTCCTTCCTTCCGGTGCTGCCCGCCGGGCACCGGGCACCTGGGGACGCCGCCAGCCCCCGCTCTGCCGCCAAGAGAAGAACAAGAAACCGCTTCTCCTACCTTGTCGCCGCCGCCTCCTGCTGCCGCTGCCGGCGCTTCTGCTGCTGCTGCTGTCGAGGGGAGGGGGGTGCCTGTGCTCCTCGTGTCCCCCTCCAGCGGTTAAGTTTATTCCTCTCTTTGGATAGGTGGGGAGCTCTCGGGGTTCCCCCCGGGCAGCGGTGGGGTGTGCCTGGCCCAGCACCCCAGGCGATCAGATCCGTCTGCTCCTCAAGATTGCAGTTTGCTCTCTGCCTCTTTCCCTCCTCCAGTCACCTTTAAATGCATCTTTTACTGCAGCACCACATTATATTTGCAGATCATAAAATCCACCTCTCGCGCGCACCAAGACCGTCCTGACATTACTGTTTTATGACCTTGACTTATTGTGGTCACCTGGATAATATTTAAATCAACGTTATGGTCTCTCACTTACATTACACCCGCCAGGAGACGTCCTAGAAAGGCTCTAGGAGATGAGTCCAACACAAAACACACACAGACACACACTCAGCCTCCTCAGGGAGGGGGGTGTCGCTAAGAAAGAAAAAGCACTACATACAAAAACCACCCATTTGAGGATTATGATTCTGCAAATTTATTAGCATTTTTTTTTCTCCATTAAGGAAGCTACATGCAAAAGATACAACATACAGAATATCTTTAAATAACACAACTGCCAGACAGGGGCTGGGTGATGGCGGGAGGGGGGGGTCTCTCTTTGCTTCACTATGCTCTATTTTTTAAAATGTTTTGTTCCTCTGGATGGGAATGTTCAGATGTCAGTGGATGGAGGGTGTGGGGTGCTGGGAGGATGGGAGAAATGCAGAAAGCAGTACAAATACAAGACTTCAAGCAGATTCTCAGAGCGACTGGGAGATAAAGACAGGGAGAGGGGTTTGGTGGAGGTGCTGGGCGCTACGATGAACACACGAACACTAGCCGAACTTCCCAAAACGCCTATTCTAAGGGGGAAATACAGCAAGAAAGGAGCGATTCTGACTGTGCTCTGTGAGATTACAGACCTTCTCTGGTTCATTTTTGTCCTCTTACCCTTATCCGTCCCCCCCCCCCAACTGTGTGTATTCGACCTTAACTTTGCATAGAGAACAGGATGCTGTGTGTGTGAGTGCGTGGGTGAGTGAGGGGTTCACACGCACACCAGTCACGCTCCCGCCCTTAGCTATGCAGGCACGCCACACCCAGCCCCCTGCACCCCGTTTCTCATGCTCTAGGTGGACAGCATCTTCACAACACGAACCACTGGTCCCTCGGAAGGAGAGTCTGAGGTCTTTGCCTTTTTTCACAGGCGCGTTGCATTTATACTGAGGGAGGGGAAAAAATATACCACCAGGCACAAAGGGAGGAGGGGCGGGGAGAGGGAAAGAGGGGTGGGGGAGAGGGGAGGAGGAAGGGGAGGCCGAGTGCTCAGGTGAAATTAAAATTGGAAGTCAGTTCCCGGATCCGATTCTCTCGGTTCATTTTCTTGAGTTTCATTCTGCGATTTTGAAACCAGATTTTGACTTGTCTGTCTGTAAGGTTAATGGTCTTGCTAATCTCCAGGCGGCGCTCTCGCGTCAAGTACATATTGAACAGAAATTCCTTCTCCAATTCCAGCGTCTGGTGCTTAGTATAGGGGCACCTCTTCTTCCTTCCGCTCTTTGCTGTCAGCCAATTTCCTGTGGTGTTTTCTGCCTTTATCTCCTCTGTTAAAAATAACATTATTTACATAAGTATCCCTGCAGAGGCAACCCCTCCAGAATGCTGCAGCCTTTGCCAGCCTGCAGCGGGCGGCTGATGGAGCACAGGGCAGCTGCTCTCCTACAGGCCTGGCTGGTGGGGGCCTCTTGGGCTCGGGGCCCTTAGAATATCTTTAGGGTCTAGATTTACAGGGGAGAAAGACAGGAGGTTCTTGCCTCCGAAGCATTTATGAAATTTAAATCTGCCCAATCCACCTTGACCTGGCAGGCTCTGAGGACTCCCCACTCCCTCAGCTTGCTGACCCTGATGGGCACTTGAAACCTCACCAGGCCCTCCCTCCTCTCTGTTCCATTCCAGCTCTGGAAAAAATCCAACCAGAAGGAAAAGCATTTTTCCAGGCCCCAGACAGGGTGGCTAATCCATCCTGCTGGGGAGAGCAATTCCCAGAGAGCTTTGACCCCTTTCAACTCAGTGGAGGGATGTCGCCCCATTCTCTGCAGCCAGTGGCCACTGCAGCTGTCCCGCACCAGACCTCCAGTCCCTGTTCCCACCTGAAGTGCCACCGAATGACACTGTCCCATTTGATCTCCCACTGCCAGCTCTTCCTCTCCTGGCCATTTCCCCTGGGCTGTCAATAGTGAGGCAAGGGAACTTGTACAGGCAGCAGAGGTCAGGGGCAACGGCTCTGGGGCATGCTGCGTGGTCCTCGGACAGCAGCCCTGGCCCTAAGACCTGAGGTCAAGGGAGAGAGATATCCTGAGGAAATGCAGCCTCTTGGAAATCTCCTGCCTGCATATCTACGTAGAGATGGATGCCTGCATGCCTGTGTGTATTCCTGCAAAGCATTCTCCTACACACATGCAGACATGTTATTTGTATAAGGAGGTACTATAAGTAGAGTGTGTATTTCCCATTATCTTATGGGGAGCTTCTCTCCCTGGACCATGTTCTTGCTGAAATGGACCGGTCTTACTCTTTAAGCAGCAAAAGAGATCAGGGCTGTCTTTTCTAGGGAAAAGAGACCCAGAGTCCAGAGACCAGAGATGGGCACCCAGCAGAGGACCCTGCTATGGCTCTGCACTCTGTCTCCCATGCGCCCAATGGAATTGCCAGCTTCCTGGGTCTTATCTTGTTGGGGGAGTGGGCTGGGGGACCCAGGGGAACCAGGAGGCACCAGAAGAATGCAAACTCGAGGCTGTAGTTTATAAAACATCCAAATGCCCTTCCTTCTGCTCCCACCTCTGCACCTGAAGCCTCCAGTGAAATCGTTTGAAGGCTTTTCACATCTAACTCTGTCCTGTTTATTTTCTTATTGGGTTTGTTGGGCTTTGGGGGAAGGGAAGAAATTACAAATGGTGAAGTCTGGCCAAAAGCCCTCTCGCCTCTGGCCAGGTGGTGACATCAAAATGGGAGAGAGGAGGCACGAAGAGCAGGAGTAAAGAGCGGACTGAGAGGGATTAGTTGGGGTGGGACGATTTAGATTTTTTTTGGGGGGGAGGAGGGCAGCAGAGAAAAGGGAGCCCACCATATGGGGGCAGTTTGAGTCAGGAGGTGAACTTATTAACCTTGACTTTGCTTCTGGTGGGGCCGTAACAGCTTCTCCTATCCTACATATCTGCTCCCCAACCAAGCTCAGGGGCTGAGGAAAAGGTGGACCATTAAACTTTCATGTTGCACAAATGCCTCAGCGAAGGCTTTGTGGGTGTGGGGGCCTCACTCTCTCCCTCACACTCGCTCCTGAACACACCTGGTCTTCTGGCCAGGGTTTCCATGAGGAAATTTGCCAAGGCCACCTTTGCAGAGGAGACCCGAGGAAGAGAGGCTTAGCCCTTGCCCCCCAAAAGGGTGTGTGTGTGTGTGTGTGTGTGAGTGTGAGCAGGCATGCGTGTGTGCGGAGCATGTGAGAGGGGTGTGTGTGTGAGTGTGACACAGGTCGCCAGGCATGCGTGTGCCGCATCCATATACAAAGCACCACAAGATCCAGGCTGCTCAGCTCTTACCAGCCCATCCGCCTCCACACTCAGGGCGCCCCTCTTATACACAGCCCCCAGCATCCGCACCTTGGGGAGCAGCGTTATCCCTCCCCTCCCAGCTGGGCCTTTCTGATGCTTCGGGCTCCAACTTTTCGGGGAGAGTAGGTCTCCTCGGCCTCACTCCCCTGAGGGCCGGACCCATTTGTTTCCTCCACATTCCTCTCCAGGTGTCAGAGAAGGTCCCCAAGGCCTCCAGCGCCTGCAGCAAAAATGAATCTTGAACCCTGAGCTTGAACTCTGACGAAGCTTTCTCTCTCAGACCAAAGTCACAATGCAAACCAACTAAAGCCACACTTCCTTGCCATTCACACAGACAATCCCCAACCACTCCTTTGTAAGCAGCTATTAGAAACAAGGAAAACAAAATTTAACCAGAGAAAAGGAAAAGAAAAAAATTAAAAGGGAGACAAAAAACAAAACAAAAACCCAAAACTTACAACAGTCCAAATGCTCTTTTCCAACGCCATACCCAAGCGAGGCGTCTGGGGCAGGGAGGGACACGGCGGGCAGCCTCTCACCTCCACCTCTTCCGCTCCAGCCCCGCTGCCCTAGGCCCGGGGCCCGGCCCAAAACCGCAGGAGCCCAAACCACACGCACAGAGGAGACACACAAACAACAAACCCGCGCTTCTCAGGAAACAATTTTCAACTGGGAGAACACAGTCAAGCGCAATCTCCTTTCTCCCCGGTCTTCCTTAGTCCCTGACCCAAGATCGCCATTTTAAGCTTTTTTTTTTCTTTTTTTTTTCAAGCTTCTGACCTGAGCGGGGGCACCTCAGCCCGCACCGGGACCACAGCGCAGAGCGAGCCCACCGAACCCAGCACATGCCCGGGAGTGGCCACCCGCCTGGGCAGCCGCAGCCTGCCCGCGGGGCGCGCCATGGCCACGCCGGTCTGGGCGCCACGGCCGCCGCCGGCACCTCCACTTGGCCGCTCACCTTCCCCCGCCAAATGCCGCGCCCCCGCCGGGCGCTCCGCTCACAGGAGTCGCAAGCCGGGTCTTATTCCCAGGACCCTCCAGGGCCTCCTCGGCCCAACCTTTTGCCTTTCCCCACCCTCCCGGACCCCGGGCAGGAAGACCAAATAACCGAGCATTCCAGCCGGGCCACGGCCCAGGCAGGCGGGCGGCCTTACCTTTTGCTTCGTTATCCGAGGTGTCCGGGCTGGAGTCGGCGGCGGGTTTGGCCCGCTCCTTCTCGCTCTCCAACGGGCTGCCTTTGGCGCCCGCCAGGCTCTGCTCGGTCTTGATCTCACTGGGGCTGGGGGTCTGGCTGTCAGACTTGGGGGTCTCGGGGAAACTCACTTTGCCCCCCAGCTGGGGCGACTCCAGATGCTCGGCGGCGCGCGGGTGGAGGCCGGCCCGCTGCTCGAAGGGGGCCTCGAAGTCGTTGGTGCCGGCGGCGCAGTGGGGCGGCTTGTCCAGCGCGGAGGGGTAGCCGGGGCCGGCGCGGTAGTAGCTGGGCACGGGCACCTCGTGCTCCCCGAGGCAGGACTCCTGCAGGGGGTGGGGGTAGAGCGCTGCCTCGGGGCCACTTTTGGCCCGCTTCTCCGCGCTGTACATGCAGCACACATTCTCCTCCTTGACACTAGGTGGGTAGGAGCAGGAGGACAGCGGCCTGCCAACAGGTTGCTCCAGGCGGTAGGCGGCGGCCTTGGGGTCGCCCCAGGAGTCCAGCTGCGAGAGGTAGGACGGGTAGGTGTTGAGGGCGAGGTTGGGGCTGCTGCCCTCGTCCCTCTTGGAGAGCGAGGGCGTGAGCCCGCAGCCCCTCATCACCCCGCAGTTGAAGTCACTCCCCGACTGCATGTACATGCCTGCGCCCCGGCTATAGCGCTCGCCTCCGCCGGGCGCGGCCAAGGGCTCCGCGTACGAGTTGGGAGTTACATTGCGAGGGCATGTCATTTTCAGAGAGAGGGGTTTTTAAGGAGCAATACTACGGCGGAGGAGCTGACATCTTTTTTTCCCCCCATCCGGGAGGGGGGGGCGGTTCGAGGGGGCGGGAAGAGAAAGGAGGGAGGGGGGGAATATCAGCTCCATAATTATCCGCACATTCGGGCCTCACCATGTGACAGCTAGACCAATGGGATTTGAAAATGGCCTTGATGATTCAGACGGCCGTGACGTCAGCGGGGTCAAGTTGTCGGCGGGCGGAGCGCGGAGCGTGGAGTAACAGCGCCACCTAGCAACCACCTCGGGGTAGGGGCGGCCGAGCACTCCGCCGCGAACAAAGGAAGCGCCCGGGGGCGACGGGGGCAGGAGGGAGGTGGAGGGAGCTTGGGCAGGGGTGGGGGTGGAGGGTGTCTTAGGGAGAGCGGGGTTTGTTTACCCGGGAACGAGCCTGTAGTCCTGGGGAAGGGGGTGGGAAGGGGGGGAACGCAGGAGAGACGGAGGGAGCAAGGTAACTCGCGGCTCAAAACAGTCAAATTCAAATTAAAAAAGGTCAAGACACCGTTCAGGTACTTCCTCCCCTTCTCTCCTCACCTCCCTTTTCCTCTCCTTGGACTCTCTCCTCGGCTTCTTCCCTTGGGGAGGGACTAGGGTAAGGTTTGGCGGGAGAGGGCTCCAGAGGGGGGGTGGGCAGAGAAATGGAGAAAAAGTTAAGGAATCCCAAACAGAACGAAAGTTTCTGCTTTCCTGTATTCTCCTTTGGCCGGCCCGTGCGTGGCCTTGGGGACTTCGAGCTGGGGGACCGCCAGTCACGGAAGTTGATCAAGTTTCAAGTTCCCCTGGGAGTTGGCAGGGAATCTCCAGAGAGGGAGAGGTCAGGGAGGGGGTCCCATCACTTCAGGGCTACTTGGGCAAAGGAGGTTCTGAGAGCGGATCCGGGTTGCGGAGGAGGAAGCTGGTGGCTGAGACGGTCGGACCCAGGAGTGCCGCCTGGGCCTGGCTGGGTGGATGGCTCCCAGCTGAGGCTTTGGCCTTTGGGTGGGTTTGGTTGCTTTGCTCCAGGCCCCAGGGGCCCCCGCTTTCCAATTGACCTTGCTCCCACAAATACGGGGACTATTCCCAGAGAGAAAGAGGGACCCCGCGGGGCCTCCGCCGGTTTGGGAGAGCTGCGTCTCACACGGAAAACCAAGACACCAGACTCGACAAAATCCCACCCAGAGAATTGTCCTTTGCAGAGCGAACGAGCCGGGGGGCATTTTTGAGAGGAGATAAGGTTCGAGTCTATCACTGCGGTTATTTTTTTCAATAAAGGGAAGCCAGGAGTAAGGGGCAAGCATGTCTGAAATAGTTCTTTTCGTTTCTCCACCGCCTTTCTCCCCAGGCGAACCAAACCCTCCACGCCTTCCTTAGGAAACAGAATCTGGGAAATAACTTGTTTTTCTGGTCGCCCCACATTTCCCCCTGGACAAGCCTCAGGTTTCTGCTTTCCCAAGAGCTGGAGCCTGGCGGGGAAAGGACGGACTGGAGCTCTGCGCGACCCCGGCGTGGAGCGGTGAGGAGGCTGGACGGCTCTGACGAGGCCTGAGCCCGGGCAGCAAGAAGGGGACTTCGGAAACAAATCCCCTGGATTCTCTCATCCAGGGGTCCAGAGGGAAGGCCCGGGGAGCCCTACACCTGGAAGAGCAGGAAAAGCTGGAAGAACATCTGTAACGTATGACTCGCTCGCAGGGCCAGCCGGCGGATTCGAAATGGTTTTGTGTTTTCATTTGCAGCGGTCGCCGCCGCCGTGGGCTCGGCACAGGGGCTGGCCCAGGCAAGGTTAGGCTGTTTAGGCTCCCAAGGAGACCTGGGACAGCCCGGGAGCCCTCAACCCAGAGAGCCTTTTGTCCCACCACCCACCCCGAGGGAGACGGAGGAGACTTTATGGCCACTCTGTTTGCATTATCTGCATAAGTCTCTCCCCACCAGTTTGATCGAAACTGCTCGCTTTTACGAGGACCCAACGAAAATTCCCCGTCATATTTATCAGCCGGGGATAAAAATTTAGTATGGGAACTGATATTTCCTCATTTATGGGGCGATGAAATTAAAGACCAGAGCAATTGAAAATTATATGGCTTTGGGGGGTTCCCCCCCCTCTTTCCCAGCGCCTTTATTTTCCTGCCTCGGTGTGCCTGTCCTTTATTTTCCTGCCCCAGACGCCTGCCCTTGCTCTTAGTTCGGGGTTCCGCTGGGCCCTGTCCCTCTGCTCAGGTGCCCCTTGGCCACCTTGGTCTTTCCTGTTTGTTTGTTTTTCTCGGTGTTGGGGGTAGGCCAGGGGCCTGCCCAGAACTAGGGGAGCCTCGGCCCTGCTAGTCTGCCATCCGGCTGGGGCAGCAGGAAATGGAAGTTCACCGCCGTGAGCTTCAGAGAAAGGGTCTGAGCGTGGCCTGGGAGGGGGCGAGGGAGGCTGAGGAGCAGGGCGAAGGAGAAGGAGACGAACTCCAGGTTACCTCTCAAACCCAGCGCGTCCCTGGGCACAGCCTGGGGAACCAGCGGGAAGGTGTGGAGTCACTCGGCTTTAGGTCCAGTCTCCCCCGCCTGCCCGACCCCCAGTCCAACTGACTCCTCACCTCACCCAGGGGAGGGGACCGAGTGGCTCCCGAATCCTTGCCGTTATGAATGGAAGGAATCCCCGTGAGACAAGGAACCTCCCGCCTGGACTCCCACTTCCTCACAAGAACAAATAGTGTTTAAAGTTGAAATAATTAGAAGTATGATAAACACGGCCCATTAATGAAAAAAGAAATCAAATTCATCAGCCTAAGTAGGACCCCCGGTGGGGCAAATGTTTGCCTTTAATTACGCAGGATAAACGCAAACTCTGGAGCCGTTAAACTGGAGCCCTTGCAGACGCAGACCCGAGTTCAACTTGTAGGGTTTTCCAGACTTTGGGATTCTACCCCAGGGGGGTGATGGGAAGGAGGACTTGAGGGGTGAGGGTGGGGAGGGGCAAGAGGAGCGTTTAGGCAGGTCGGTGGGCCCCCCTTGAGCTCGGTCTCTCCCGAGGCCACGAGCAAAGGCCGCTTCAGCCCTACTGTCCGGGCCTGGCGTTCAAAGGCACCGGGGTTGCCGCCAGGCGCCCACCGGCCCTGCTCCCTGGGGCCAAGGCCTTCCGGCCTGAACCCCAGGGAACTGGATCGGGGTCCGGAAGAAGTCTGTGTGTTGCTGGAATTGCCATGTTGAGACGTTTCCCCAACTTCCCAGGAGCGCCAAGAGAACTGTGACTCTTGTGCTTCTTCTTGCCTCCACTTGAGGATGTAAAAATCCAGGGGCTGCAGGCCAGAGAGGGGTTCAGGCTGCATCCACATCGTGACAAATCCCTCCTACCCCAAGGATGCTGGCTCCTTGGGCCCTTCTTCCCAGTACGGGGACCTTGGGAAGAAAGCAGGGAGGCAGGGCTGGGCCTCCTGCTGCAGGAGGGACTGTGGGCAAGGGAGGGGGGAAGGTGCTCCTGGAATGTTCCGGGGTGTTCGGTGGGTTGAGGGGGGGCAGGCCGAAAGCTGGGGCACTCGGGGTCTCCATGTAAAAATAGAAGAAAAATGGAGGGCTTCACAAACAGAAAGGAACCTCTGTTGGCTGTTTTTTTGGTTTTGTTTTTTCTCAAACACTCAAAAAAGCACCCCAGAAACACCCTGATTTTGCCAAGGAAAATTAGTGAAGTTTCTCCAAGAGGTAAGGGCAGTCAACTAGGAAATTCCAAAGGTGAAGAGAAAAAGGAAAAGTGTCTCTCCCTTTGCGGCAAAATAAAAATAAAAGTGTGTGTGTGTTGAAATCTCATCACGCAAAATTGAGAACAAAATCACACTAGTGGAAATTGCAGGTTTTCCCCCCTCTTTTTTTGGAGTCTCACGTAAATAATTTTCCTTCTAAAACTTGAAGGAAAGATTTGCTTTTCTTTTTCCGCTAACACCGGACTCTGCCTCGGCTTAATTGGGAGAAAGGAAATCCCAGACAAAATACAAATGCTCAGAAGCCCGGGAAAGAGCTTTGCAAACAGGTACAGAGAGGGAGATGGGAGGCCGAGGATGGCCCGGAGGGGCCTCTGGTCTCCCGGACCTCGCAGCCACTCCACCCGGGGAAGCCAACCATTAGAGTCGCTCTCACATCTGGACCTTGTGCACACATTTGCACCCTGATACTATGGGGTTTACCAATTACACACGTGACTAAGTTGTGTTTAATTTTGTACACAGAGCCACAAATATTCTTTTACCCAAAAATGCTCTTCCTGCAATCCCGAGTCCAGAAGTCGAATAGCCTGACCAGCATAACCGCTTTCTTTGCCTTTCGGAAGCCGACCAATGCTTTAACCTTGCCTGAATCAAATCGAAACCAGATAGCAAACGCGTCCAAGAGAAGCTTAGGGAGGAAGAGAGGGATGGGAGGATGTGTGTGGGGGGAAGGCCTTGCTCCCCACTTTAATGGTTTGCTTCCAAGTTGTCCCAGTAGGTCGGGTTTCCAGCCTGAGCGGGGACTGTGGCTGGGCCGGCTCACTCCGGTGAGAACCCCCGCTCCTTCCTTACCGGCTACATTCCTTTTCCAAGATGTTTTCCATCATTTACCTTTCTTCCTTCCTTCCTTCTTTCCTCCCTTCCTTTCTTCCTTCCTTCCTTTCTTATTTCTTTCTTTTTATTTATTTTTGCTCCCCCTTCTTTTTCTGCATTTTTCTTCTCTTTTTCCCCCCCTGCAGTTCATTTTTCCCTTCCCGTTTTCGGATCCTTTCCTATTTCTTCCTTAATTCATTGTCTTTCTCATTTTTCCTTCTTTCTTTCCTTATTATACAATTTATTCTTTGCTCTTTTCTCTCCTCAGTGCTTCCCTTCCTCTTGACCTTCTTCCCTAGCCTTTCTTGTTTGTCTGTTTCGATGGGCTCTGTGAGGGGAGAGAATCAGGCTCGGCCGCTTGCATCCCTTCCCAGCCTGCTGCGCAGGCTTGGAATTGACCTTCTCCTGCTTTCAGTCTTAATTCGGTTCCTCACAAGGGGAAGTGTAGGGCTGCGGCAGCCAGAGGCCAGGCCTTCGCAGTCGCCATTAGAGGAGGAGCGGACTCCGATGGCTCCCTGCAGCGCTGGTTCCGGGCTCAGGTA